TTTATTTGTAATACGAGGCCTATGGCAGGATCTGTGCAAAGACATTCCTTCAGATGTCGATGCCAAGCTTTCACATCGAATTTAGAGAGCAGAGTTCGGGCCATTTTGGGTAAGATCCACACGCCCTCCCTCCTAGCCCTCTTAGCATGCCCTTCCGTTGCTGTTTCCTCTCCTGGGCTTGTCCAGTCGGACCCTTCAATGGATTCCAATCGGTTGGCCTCAGTGGAGGTCTTGTGGCACAGTGGGCAGTGTCCCTGCCTCTGAGAGCGAAGATTCAAGTTGGAGTCCCATTTCAGGACTCAACGGTTGCTGCAATGTGACTTAAGACATAGGAGCAGAAATTAGGCCATTCTGACCATTGAGCCTGCCCTGCCATTCAATCATGGCTGATAAGCTCCTCAACCCTTGTCAACTTTTATACTCAATGCCCCCGACCAATGGAGGCAAGCGTGCCATATGCCTTTTTTTTAAAACCACCCTACCCACTCATGTTACCACTTTCAGGGAGCAATGGGCTTGCACCCCAAGTCCCTTCCTCCAAGGTCTCTCTGCTCCTCCAATTCTAGCCTCTTGAGCAACCACCGATCTTAAATGTAGGAGGCCGTGCCTTCAGCTGCCTGGGCCCCAAGCGCGGGAATTCCCTCCCTAAGCTACCATCTAGAAGGACAAGGGGCAGCAGATACATGGGAACACCAGCCCCTGCAAGTTCCCCTCCGAGCCCCTCACCGTCCTGACTTGGAAATACATCGCCGTTCCTTCAGTGTCGCTGAGTCAAAATCCTGGAATTCCCTCCCCAGGGGCACTGTTAGTGGGAGGGAGGTTGACATTGAGGCTCACCACTATCTTCTCAAGGGCCAGGCAATAAATCTGGCCAGCCAGGCCGAAATCTCCAGGAGTAGATGAAAAGAAACCCCGGATTGGTTCGGCCATTGAGTACTGTCCCCTCAAGTACCCATCTGCCTCCTTGCCTACCTGTGAGGATCCTGTGCTCCCTATGGATGCGAAGACCTCCTTCCCTTCCACTCTGGAGAGGATTGGAGGTGTTGGTCACTGACACAAGTTAGCTAATCATCAAATCGAAGGGTTTAACCAGGAGGGTGAGAGACATGGCCGACAGCGAATGTGTTTACGACCTCACCTATGCGTTTGTTGTCCCCCAGGTCTTGCTCTGGCTCCACGTATGGTCGAAGTTCCTCCCCGTCACACCCAACGTTTATCCACTTGTCCTTCATGATTTGCTGTGGGCAGACGATGTTGAGTTAATATTGACCCATTGACATCGACCCAGAATGCATCAGCTGACTGATGGTCAACCACATGGCCGAAAACAAACTGCATTGGTATACTGAGATAACACAGTGTAGAGCTGGATGAACACAGCAGGCCAAGCAGCATCAGAGGAGCAGGAAAGCTGACGCTTCGGGTCTGGACACTTCAGAAAATAAAGAAGACCCTTTTCTGAAGAAGGCTGTAGACCCAAAACATCAGCTTTTCCTGCTCCTCTGATGCTGCTTGGCCTGCTGTGTTCATCCAGCTCCAGACCTTGTTATCTCAGATTCTGCAGCATCTGCAGTTCCTACTATCTCTGCATTGGTATACTGCCTTTAAAGCAGTGAACACCAACACCACAACAGCCCCTCACCCCATCACACCCCACTATCACCCCTCCCAGCTTCTCCAGGGGCAACTAGGGACAGGCGATAAATGCTGAGACCAGCCAGCAATGCCTACGTCCCATGAGTGAATAAAAACAAACAACTGTTTACTGAGTTTGACAAGGATTTCAGATAAACCGACGTTTTCCCAGCCACCCTCGGTTCTGAGGAAGGGTCACCAGACCTGAAACGTTAACTCTGTTTTTTTCTTCACAGATGCTGCCAGACCTGCTGAACTTTACCAGCAACTTTGTTTTCGTTGTTGACAAGGATCTCCTCAGACTAAAGCAAGCTTACCTCCAGAGTTCCTCGCTTGGCTGGGTTGAGGACCAGGAAGCGTTTCAGGATGTTTTCACAGTCCGTCGACATGTAAAAGGGCACACGATATTTCCCCCTCAAGACTCGCTCCCTCAGCTCCTGCAGATACAACAACATTTCTCACACACTGAGGAGCTGAGGTGATGTCGCTGGGTTGGATAGGCCGGGACGTTACAAGGACACAATCTGGACAGGGCCTTGCCTTGGCCAAGTACTCGACCCAATGAGTGTTCAATGAGCGTGTTTTTTTTAGGGAGAAAGTGAAGTGGGGATGGTTTTACGGGAAGGAATTCCAGAGCTTGGGGCCAAGGCAGCTGGAGGCATGGCTTCCAATAGCAGAGCGAGGGCAGATACACCGGAGGGGAGAGTTCAGGCAAACGTAGAGATCTCAGAGGGTGGTGGGGCTAGAGGGGAGGGTGGTGGGGCGAGAGGAGAGTGCAGAGAGATGAGGGGAGGGAGGATAATGGAAGAGTTGGAAAAGAGGAGAATTTCAAAGTCAATGTGACAATGTCACAGAGACCCCCTCCCCCCGCCCCGTGCACCGCGACCCCTCCTCCATCGCCCTCGGCACAGTGACCCCTCCCCCATCCCCCCGGGCACAGGGACCCCCCCCACCCCCGCACCAGGCACAGGGGCCTCTTCCCCCATCGTCCCGGGCACAGTGACCCCTCCCCCATCGCCCTGGGCACTGCGACTCCTCCCCTTTCCCCACCCTGGCACAGCTACCCCTCCTCCCCCGACCTGGGCTCACATTGCCCCCGGAAGAGCGACCTCTCCCCCCACCCCAGGCACTGCAATCTCACCCTCACACCGGCACGCACCCCCCACACCCCCCATCCCGACACAGCAGTCTGCTGATAGGCCCTAACATGGTAGGCCCTAGCAATGCCCGTCACCTCGCTGTAGTCTGTAACTAGCCAACAAGGTCCAGTGCTTTGCATGTTGATGACAAACAGGAGTGGAGTGGGGGTGGAATATCGTAGGAAACCAGAGCTAAAGCCACAGCCTGGGTCAGTCATGAGTCCTCTGTCAAGGCTGATGGGCCGAATGTTCTCGAATGGCTAACCCAGGGAGACGTGAATTCGCCTCCCACCAAAAATCAATCCCTTCATCCAACATGTTAACAAATCAACCAATGGCATTGTGTACTCGATTATTTAAATAAATCCAGGACAGCACGACTGTCGGGAGTGAACCGAGAGAGCGAACATTGGAAATATCCAGCAGATTGAGCAGCACGTGTGGGGAGAGGAGGTGTTAGTGAGGGCTTGGGGAGAGAGAGCCGGGGAGAGGTGGGGGGGACATCATGTTTTCATTCTTTATTTTATTCATTCATGGGATGTGGGCGTCTCTCCCCAATCCAGCACTTATTGCCCCATCCCTAATTGCCCCAGAGAGCAGTTCAGAGTCAACCACATTGCTGTGTGGGCCTGGAGTCACATGTAGGCCCAGACCAGGTCAGGATGGCAGTTTCCTTTCCTAAAGGGCATTAGTGAACCAGATGGGTTTTAACGATAATTGACAATGGATTCAAGGTCATCCTGAGACTCTTAATCCGATTGAAAAGTTTTACTGAATACCAATTCTTCTGCCGTGGTGGGATTCGAACCCGAGTGCACAGACCATTACCGGGGTCTCTGCGTTAACAATCTAGCCACGACACCACTCAACCATTGCATCCCCTCTGTGCCCCAGTGGATAGGGAGCGATTAAAGACAGGAACATGAAATCGATGGGGAGGAAGGATTGAAAACGGAACGGAGAGTTAGGAAATTGTCCCACAGCCTGACCCAGGGGGGATACCGGTGTCTCACCTTCAGATTCTGGCCATCGAAGGGCAGCGAGCCGCTGACCAGTGTGTACAGGATGACCCCGAGACTCCAGATGTCCACCTCGGGCCCGTCGTACTTCTTACCCTGGAAGAGTTCGGGAGCAGCGTATGGGGGGCTCCCACAGAAAGTGTCCAACTTGTTCCCAAACTGGAACTCATTGCTGAAGCCGAAATCAGCGATTTTTATGTTGCAGTCACCATCCAATAGGAGGTTCTCCGCCTGAAGGAGAGGACGAGAGAGAGAGTGTGAGAGGGTATGAGAGAGAGACAGAGGCAGAGAGAGAGAGAGACACAGAGAGACAGACAAACAGATAAAGAGAGAGAGAGAGACACAGAGTGTGAGACGGTGTGAGAGAGAGAGACAGAGGTAGAGAGAGAGAGAGGGAGGCAGAGAGAGAGAGAAAGAGAGGGAGGCAGAGAGAGAGAGACAGACAGACAGAGAGAGAGACAGAGACAGAGAGAGAGAGAGAGAGAGAGAGGGAGAGAGAGAGAGAGAGAGGCATAGAAAGAGTGAGAGAGAGCGAAAGAAAGAGTGAGAGAAAGAGGGATTCTAATTTCTAGGTTTGCAGCCCAAATACTTCCCCCATTGGAATTGTTCTTAAAACCCAGAACAGGGATCAGCGCCATTTATTGGGAGATGAGGTACCAGGACATGGGTTCAAACACCATTGCGCTAGGTTGGGCAATTTCATTCCAGTTCATGAAACAAGTTTGGACTTTTTGAATAAAAAGTGTTCCTATCAGAAGGGTGGCTGTGAGACTACAGGACTGCCCTAAAATCCGAATCATAAACGGCATTCCTTCTAATTTACCCTCTGGCTGGCTGGGCCTCAGAGGGGTCTGTGCCACAGCGTTTTCTGAAACCAAAGTTGAAGCTGTGTTTAGCGAATGCACAGTGTCAGAGCGACTGTGCCCACGGTTCAGCAGGAACTAGCTTTCGGCTAGTGATCAACCCCCACCCTCCTGCAAATTCCCCTTCGAGCCACTCCCCCCATCCTAACTCGGAAATACATCGCCGTTCCTTCAGCGTTGCTGGGTCAAAATCCTGGGAAATCATCCCCCTAAGGGGGCATTGTTGGGTGGTGGTGTTGGAGGGGGTTGGCATTGAGGTTCACCACTACCTTCTCAAGGGGCAGTTGGGGATGGGTAGTACATGCTGACCCAGCAAGTAATGCCCACATCCAACGAACATAGAATCCCTACAGTGTGGGAAAAGGCCACTCAGCCCATTGAGTCCACACCAACCGTCCAAAAGCATCCCACCCAGTTCCACTCCCTCCACCCTATCCCTGTAACCCTACGTTCCCCATGGCTAACCCACCCAGCCTGCGCATCCCTGGATACTATGGGGCAAGTTCCCTTGGCTAATCCACCTTAGCCTGCACATCTTTGGACTGTGGGAGGAAACCGGAGCACCCGGAGGAAACCCACGCAGACACGGGGAGAATGTGCAAACCCTGGGATCGAACCCGGGTCCCTGGCGCTGTAAGGCAGCAGTACCAGCCACAAAGATATAGATAACAGGTGAAAACAAAAGACATCTGCTATCTTTACCTGGTCTGGCCTACATGTGACTCCAGACCCACAGCAATGGAGTTAACTGCCCTGTCAAATGGCCCAGCAAGGCCATCAGTTCCAGGGCAATTAGGGACGGGCAACAAATGCTGGCTTTGTCAGCGACATCCTACATCCCATAATAGAACAACAACAAAAGACCCAGTAGGCCAACAACAACAACTTGTATTTGTATAGCAGCTTGCACAGCTTGAGGCACTGTGCTGCATACAGGCATCTGAAGACAGGTGACCAAGAGCTCAGTTGGAGAGGTAGGTCTCAAGGAGTGTCTTATGGGGGGGTGGGGAGCGAGAGAGAGAGAGAGACAGACAGACAGACAGAGAGGGAGGGAGAAAGATAGAAGGGGGAAGAGAGAGACAGATAGAGAGAGAGAGAGAGACAGGGGCGAGAGAGAGAGAGAGAAAGAGAGACAGGGGCGAGAGAGAGAGAGTGTGGAGGGGCGAGAGAGAGAGAGAAAGAGAGAGAGAGGGGCGAGAGAGAGGGGCGAGAGAGAGAGAGAGAGGAGGGGGGGGGGGGGGAGGGGGGGGGGGGGAGGGAGAGAGAGGGAGTGGGGGGAAGGTGAGAGAGAGACAGACAGACAGACAGACAGAGAAAGACAGACAGAGAGACGGAGACGATTAGGGAAGCAATGTCAGAGCTGGGGGCCCAGGCAGCTGAAGACATGGCTGCCGATAGCGGAGCGTTGGAAACCAGCATCGTGCAAGAGGACAGGGCTGGAGGCCAACCGGAGACAAATCCCAGACAGCTCTTTTTGGAAGGGCTAGGCTAGTGTGGCAATGGGCAGGGAGAGGGGTGTTGGCCTGTTGGCATCCACTCCCTGGGCAGAGACATGGCCTTTGTGGATAACGCTCTACCCTCGGGGTCACAAGGCCTTTGGGTTCAAGCCCCCACCCATAGGGGCTTCATACCCAAGTCTGGGCTGGGTCTCCCTGGCAGCAGTGAGGGGTGCTGCACTGACAAGTGGAATTAATCCCTCCAGTCTTCAACTGTCACTTGGAAACAGGTCACCCTGTGAATATCCCACTGGCGTTTGCGGGATCTTGCCGTGTGCAAAATGGCTGCCGCAGTTTCGACACCACGCCAGCAGCTAAACCTCTGAAGCATTCCACTGGAGGTAAAGCAGTCTGTCCTGGTGCACCCCCACGTTGATGTGATGGTGAGGAAGACCCAACAACGCCTCTTCTTCCTCATGAGGCTAAGGAAATTCAACATGTCCACAAGGACCCTCACCAACTTTTACAGATGCACTGCTAAACCATTCTGTCTGGGTGCGTTATGGCTCAGTACAGCAACTGCTCTGCCCAGGGCTGTAAGAAACTACAGAAAGTTGTGTGCCCAGCCCATCGCAAGCCAGCCTCCTATCCATGGACCCCATCTACACTCCTCGCCGCCTCCAGATCATCAAAGACCCCCTTCTTGCCCCGGTATTGCTGTGTTCCAACCTGTTCTGTCAGACAACAACTTGAACACACGCACCAACAGATTCAAGAACAGCTTATTCCCCTGCTGTTTATCAGGCTGCGGAACTGAACCTCTCAAATTTCAAACCTAATGTCCATCTGGCTTTGTGCACCTCCTGCGCAGCTGTGACCTTGTATAGCTCGCTCTGTCTGAATGCCCCGTCATGTGTATGCTATGATCTGCCCACGCTGCTCGCAAAACAAAACTTTTCGCTGCACTTAGGCGGGTGCGACAACAATAAATCATATCAAAAATCTTCTGTTATGTTCCGAGGCCAAGCCGCCCTCTCAGCCCTGGGTAAGGGAGAGGCATTAAAAGAACACTCATCACCCAGTGAGACTGCACATGGCACGCCATGATGTTGGACTGGCACATCAAGACTCACCTTTAGATCCCGGTGGACAATGTTCCTCTGGTGACAGTACTGCACAGCAGACACGATCTGAAAGAAAGTTACACAGCAATCAGTCCGTAGCCCGCTGGATTAAACCCCTCGTCAGTGAAAAGACCCTCACTCCGAACTGGAAAGCCCTGTGGTGCCTGATTCTTAAAACTCCATTCACCAGCGCAGTTTGTGTGCAAGTTACTTCGTTAGCAGCGGGACGACTCATTCGTGATGCCCACCCCGGTTATAATCTCCTCTACCCTCTCCCAGCAAGCAGAAGACACAAAAACTTAAAGACACGGACCAACAGATTCAAGAACAGCTTCTTCCCCTGCTGTTATCAGGGTTCTGAATGGACCTCTCAAACTTCAAATCTAATGTTAATCTCGCTGTTTGTGCCCCTTCTCTGCTGCCGGAACATTCTATTCCTCGCTCTGTTCTATCGCCCTATGATCTCTGTATGCTATGATCTGCCTGCACTGCACGCAAAACAAAACTTTTCACTCTAACTAGGTGCATGGGTTCAGATCCCACTACAGCAGTTTGGAATCAGAATCCCTATATAGTGTGGAAGCAGGCCATTCTGTCCATCAAGTCCACACTGACCCTCTGAAGGGCAACCCACCTAGACTCATCCCCCACCTACCATACCCTGCAGCCCTGCATTCCCCATGGCTAACCCACCCAGCCTACACGTCACTGAACACTATGGGGCAATTTAGCATGGCCAATCCACCCTAACCTGCACAAAAGCAGCCCTCTGAAAGGCATCCTGCCCACACCCACCCCCCCCCCCCCCCCCATAACCCTGCATTCCCCATGGCTAACCCACCCAGCCTGCACATCACTGAACACTATAGGGGTAATTTAGCATGGTCAATCTACCCAAACCTCCACATCTTTGGACTGTGGGAGGGAACCTGAGCACCCGGAGGAAACCCACGCAGACACGGGGAGAACATAGAACATAGAACAGTACAGCACAGTACAGGCCCTTCGGCCCACGATGTTGTGTGCAAACTCCACACAGACAGTCGCCCGAGGGTGGAATCGAACCCGGGTCCCTGGCGCTGTGAGGCAGCAGTGCTAACCACTGAGCCACCGTGCCACCCAAAATTTGTATAATTTGAATTCAATTCAAAAATCTGGAATAGAAAGTCTCATTGATGGTAACTGTGAAACTATTAATTGTTGTAAAAATCCCATCACGTTCACCCCCACTTCCAGGTCACTCACCATCCTGACTTGGGAAATATATCGCTGTTCCTTCAGTGTTGCTGGGTCAAAATCCTGGAATTCCCTCCCTGAGGACATTGTGGGTCTATCCACAGCACATGGACTGCAGCGGTTCAAGAAGGCAGCTCACCCCCACCTTCTCAAGGGGGCAACTAGGGACGGGGCAATAAATGCTGGCCCAGGCAGCGATGTTCCCATCAATGAGTGAATAACAAAATTCCTTTAGGGAAGGAAATCTGCTGTCCTTAATGGTCTGGCCTACACGTGACTCCAGACCCACAGCAAAGTGGTGGCTTTGGGATTTGAATAGTTAGGTGATTGTTTTTGACTGCACAGGCGCGATGGGCTGAAGGGTATTTTTCTGTGCTGTAGATCTCAATGCCTCTCGACTGCCCTCTGAAATGGCGGAGCAAGCGACACAATTCGGGGGCAACAAAGGGGTGGGCAACAAAGACTGGCCTTGCCCCAGCGACAACGCCATTGCAGGAAGGAATTAAGAGAATACGTCATGTTCTGTCCCAAGTTGCTGGGTTATGGGCCTAGGCCCCTGGCATCGACCCCACAGCCAGGGATATTCTGAGGCAATATGTTCACAAATCTCACAAGACAAACTCTTTAATTTATTTAAATCCTCGATGAGTGAGAGAAAGAGAATGAGCGCGAAAGGAAGGGAACGAGAAAGAATGGAAGAACGAAGAGAAAAGGAGAGCGAGAGAGAGAGAGAAAAGGAGAGCGAGAGAGAGAGAAAAGGAGAGCGAGAGAGAGAGAAAAGGAGAGAAAAGGAGAGCGAGAGAGAGAGAAAAGGAGAGAAAAGGAGAAAGTGAAGGAGAGAGAAGAAAGAAAAAGGAGAGAGAAGAAAGGAGGAGGACAGGGAAGAAAGAAAAAGGACAGGGAAGAAAGGAAGAGGAGAGTGAAGAAAGGAGGAGGAGAGGGAAGAAAGAAAAAGGAGAGAGAAAAAAGAAGAAGGAGAGAATGACAGAGTTGGAGAAAGAGAAAGATTAAGATGAATGAGAGAGAGAGCGCAAACGAAAGGGAAAGAGAAAGAAAGAAAGAAAGAAGAGAATAAGAGAGAGAGAGAAAGGGGGGAGAGAAAAGAAAAAGGAGATGAATCAAAGGGATAGAGAAGAGAGAGATAAAGACAGAAAACGTAGGGTGAAGGGGCAACCAGAGAGCATGAGAAAGACAT